GTAGGAGGAAGAATTCGAGATCGAGATTACTACAGGCGATGCGTGGCGGTAATAATTAAAAGTGCGACGGGAGTTCTTAGAAGAAACCCGAGATCTGCTATTGAGCTTCTCGTGCAACCGTTACGCACAGAATATGCGCGCACACATACATCCGCGCGCTGATCATAAAATCACCCTCGATTCCTGTTAGTATGATGTTACGTCATTGAACATTCGTGTTTGTCAAGAGCAAACTATAGGTCACAAGAAATATTCTTTCTCCATTTGTTCATAGGATGAACAAATAGAAATTTATTTGTGTATTTCTGTGCATTCTTTGTGTATTTTTCTTTTATAATGATTAGAATATTTATATTTAATATTACATTAACTGATGCTCTGAATAATTACAGTATATATATATAAAAAAATAAAAATTTTTACTATAAATACTTTAATTTTTTTCTAATCTTCCATAAACGTTATATTTTTCAGAGAGTTCAGAATTGTAATTTTATTTATTTAGGATTTTTATCAATATTTGTTGAACATGGGACGCATTGTGTATTTTTTCGCTATTTCTGCAACCTTTCACGGTTTGTCGAAGGAAGGTTCCTTCCGCCTCGCCACCATCGGTCGTTTACATTGCGAAACGCATTAGCGAGACGGATCGTGCGCATCGTTGCACCGGGTGTGCAATTGCATGCAGCGCGTGCCCATTTAATACCATTTCCTCTCGTATTAGTGGTTTACAAAGTACCCGATTGCACCTGGTACACAACCATCCAGGATACGAGCAACCAGTTTCACGGAGAACGGTCTCGCTCCTGATGCACTCGTATTGCATCGGACGTTCCATCGCACTTAACCGATGCACTTAAGACGCATCCTCGTGCCCGCTGAGCTCGTGTCAGACGTACGACATATCCTAAGACAATCGAAACCGTTAGGCGACTCTCATTCACCGGTATTTACATTACCGATGTAAAATGCACGCGAGTGTAACTCTTACTTGCGATCGAAAATGCAAATAAGGATAAATTTTATTTTTCGACATAAGAATTTTTTTTTCTTCGATACAATTAATTTGAAAATTGAAAATTTTATTACTTTTTTACGGAATACTTAGAAAAAAATTTGTTGTGTGCCGATTGAAAAAAATTTAAATTCTATTTTTACAAATTATTTTTTACCCTCCTTCCTTCATTTTGCAATTTATTCAGAAATGTATCTGTCTTCTTTTGCATCGTTGAAAATATTTTCATTTCGATCGTCGTTGATATCAATGTTGTTTCGTGTCATAACCTACCATAACGTTACGTAAATATAAATCGTCTAAGCAGATTTCCTGAAAGGTCGGGCCACATCGGGTGTCGAGTTCACTGTTAGCCTGCAAATTTCATATTCGTCACAATTCTACTGGCAATCAAGAGTAATGCTGAATATGCATTTTTGCACGCGAGTCGCAGTTTTCGTCTAGCATTCACGTGCGAATAATATGCATGTTATACAGTATGCATGTATAACATAGAACATCGAGTTATAGAAAAATTTAAATTAACATTAACAATTAAATTAATTAAATTAATTAATAAATTCTATCATACAAGAACGTTGCTAGAGACATATCGCTAATGTCTAAATAAAGTTTGTATTTCTCTAAAATTTTCTTTTTACAATTTAAGTCTTTATGTGCATGTCGTTGGTATATTATTACATATAAAATACATTCGGTCTGTAGTATTAAATCTTATCAATATGTGTCATGTTTTAAATATTTTGCATATTATATATCTTTGTCCTCTATATCTCTATATATATTCTAACATTTGACATATCACAAACCTCGTTTCACGTTTAATTTTTGACGAAATTGCACGCGCTTATCGTTGTTTCTATCTTTCTTTGTCGATCGGCGATGAGTTTGGAGGCTACCACGTGAGAAGTACCTCGGTAATCGTCGACATCGCGAGAGCGATCGCAAAGGTATCTCCGGACACGTACCGGTACGCAGAAACGTGCCCGGGCCACCGCGCGACTGTTCAAGGCCGCATCCGTATTGACATCACTGCGAGCGTACAGCGATGCTTTCGTTTGTTTTACGCCGGTCGCTTCTTTACCTTGTTTGGGACACGTTAATACGCTCGGAGATAAAATGCACGTGCGCGATGCGCGCGTGGCATGCAGAGCGCATCGACGATGGCACAGGACTTTTTGCACATAATTATACGTAATAAAAGATTCTCTCTGCCAGAAAAGATTTATTGTTAGAGAAAAAAAGAATCTATCGAGGGGTTTACCATTATACAGTTCAAATAGATTAATTTAAATTAATTTAAATCAATAACGATTATGAATAATTGTATTCCAAATATGTAATTGCATGCTACATAATTAAAAGGCAAAGTAGATAAAAATAATTTTTTAAATTATGTTTTGTAGGAAATGTAAATGAAGAACGTTTCTCAATGTTTAAATATAATTGTTATAATTTTCATGAAATCACAAATAAATATCACCGATTGTTTTCTATTCGTACACGTCGTGCAAATATCATCCTTGACTACCGTAACGATTGAAATTTTCGAAAAGATCTCGGAAAATTTCCTCCAGAGGATTCATCGACATTCCCCGCCGATGATAGGTGTTACTTTGAAAAATGCGTTTAAGTGGAGACACATAATTCGCTCTCGTCGTGCCGTATGCCTGGAAGCTCGTTATATTATTCTGTTCAGGTTCAGGTAGAATCCTGCTGTGCTCCTCAAGTGGCCGTCGAGCCGAAACCAGGTATAAACAACTCGTAATGGTAATGGCAATGGTAATGGAGTAGCCATGTCGTTCGGGACTTTCATATGATGAGGGTCATCCGTACAAGTAGGAGACGCGAGGGAGGTCGAAAGGGTGTTCTTCCGTTCTTCGGTTCGGGCACGCGCCCGCATTATATGACTCAAACCACGGTTTCCGCTCTCCCGCGACGGTTACTTTCCGCTGTTTCCGACATGGAACAGTGAATTTTTCCAATGTATGTACTTATTATGTGTGATAATAATACGATAGTACTGTTATCGGTTACAAAGATATGTTTACATAAATTAGTTGCACAAGTAGGAAAATCTTTAGGTTTTTTCTTATTATATATATAAAAAAAATATATATATATAAGCGTATAGTAATTATATTACAGTAAATACTCTTCGTGTCAATTATTTATTTTTTATCTTACACTTTTTTTATCTAGAGTTTCTCTATTTTCAATATTAGCCCAAAGTTTAAAAAATGTTAATAGATTATAAGTTTGTGATTGATTTATAAGTGTACGCAATCTAACGTTACGTATATATGTGATATGATCTGTAATAAAAATAAAAATAATTCTCTAGGGTCGAACGATTGATCCGAACGATCGATTCACGAGGTACACTCCGCCTCGTGATCCACATATCCCATGGGTAGGGGCGTATTATTCGCGAAACGTAATCTATGAGTGAAATACGAAGCACACGAATCGCGATTCACACTGTTTTTTTATTTAACCTTTTTGTTAGTATTAACTATAGACACCTAATTAAGTTTGGTTATTTTATGTGCCTGTAGACATTAGACTAACGTCACTTGCTATGGATAGGCTATAAGCTTTCAACATTTATTTTGTCAACGACTGTTTAGCAACAAAACATTCATGCTACATATTTTTTATGTTTAATGTTTATATTACAAACTTGTATAAAAAATAAGAATCGATCAAAATATTTTCTTTGTTAAAATAGTAAAGAGTAAAACAATTCAGTGTTTCAACTCCTATGTTCTCTAAAAAAATATTTTCAAGAAGTCGCTGTGGCCATCAACAGTGTCGGTCACCGCTGAGTGTCTACCACCTGCAGTGCGCCTTTTGCACAGAAATTTCCTGCAGCGAAAGGATTAATAATTATATATATATTCAGTTTCTCTCTTAAATTTCAAAAACAACTCGATTATCTTTAAATATCATTACCTGAATTTAACATAAACATCGCGGTGCGAGAGAAACAGCGATGCCGAAGAGAAAGATGCAGTTTTGTTACAATTCTAATTAAGGTATACGTCCCAGTGTCCGGACATGTACCTATATCCGGACACTTACACAAAATTTATTATTATTAATCTCAAATGCTTTTTTTATTACAGTATTATAATTTAATTGCATTTAAAGATTACAATTAAATTATAATATTACGTTTTAAAAAGTGTATTTGAGACTAATATTAACTTAAATAAATAAAGTGTTATGTAAATGGACATAAGTTATGTCCGGACATAAGTACATGTCCAGTCACTGGGATCGGACAGTACTTATGTCCGGACAGTTACACAAAACTTTTATTTATTTATATTAATATTAATCTCAAATGCTTTTTTTTTATCTTAAAGATCAATTTGAATTAGTTGTCTTTTGTCATTAAACATCTATTTATATTATTATTTTCTGTCAGCATATTAATTTTCCAATTGTGGTCGGACACTGGGACAATTACGTCTCAATTCCGGCCACTGGTACTTACATTGACGCATTCTATTATTTATTTAAATATTTTAATTAATAATTGTTATAAGTGGGTTCAAATAATTTTTCCTTGCTTAAAGGAGTCTTGAGTTTTCAAATGAATACAAATATTTATATTAAAAATCTTTTTGATATTATAAATTGTATTATTTATGAGAACCTAACGCTTAAACGTCCGGCTACTGGGACATTTACCTTATTATTAATTTTTTTGCTACTCTGATATCGTATATAAGATGTATTGGGCATGAAAATTTACAAGATTTTACGATAAGCCTTTTCAGGTGAAATAATAGTGTTATAAGTGTACCACTAAAATCAGTTCATATATGTTTCCATTTTCGTTTCTAAACAAACTGAATAAACGATTTATATTACTCTATTGATATTGTGCTAGAGAAACAATATTTTAGACTAACCAAATAATGTGCATCATTTTCTGTGTTCTATTATAATATATATGTAAGTTTTGCTGTTATAGTTCCTCGTTGTATCGACCGATGAGTGGCGTGGGTGCGATGGGTACTGTGGCTGGAACCGGAGGGACCTATACCCTTCCTTACATGACGAGCAGCCCCACTGAGCTAACGTCGTCGCCTCAACTTTGGAACGCTCAGGGTAGGTATTAGTCATGAAAATAATTGATCAGGTAATGCTTACGTCGCGTCGGTTCGTCTAGATAAATTTCTGACGCGCGCGTATAAGATGGATGACGTTTGTAATATTCGTGAATAATAATGTCAGTGAATAATCGTGACTCAAGAAGCTTTTAGAAAGTTTCTTAAACATGATCTTTCAATTAGCGAAAAAACTGTGAATTCCTAAAAGGATGAAATTGTTGTTCGTAAGTTCTTTTTCATAATATATCTTCGTTGACAGTTACAGGTCTGAGCGGACTGTCCATACCTGAAGATTACGGCAGCAAATCTTCGGGTACTGTATCCCATCAATCTCTACCGGCGTTTTCGCAAACACCTTTCGGTGCTCGGTCGAGTTTCCGTGGTTACAGTCCACCGTATTCGTCCTCTCAACAGAATACCACTGGGAACGCCGCTGTCTCCGCCGAAGCAGCTTCTTGGACGTATGCATCACCTACAACTGACGCTTTAACGACACAATATGGCACACCGTCGAGACGGCAGACTGTTAATCCAGCAACAGCACCGACGCAAATCAGTGCCGCCGCAAGTTTGACTGCAAGTAAGTATTTTTCCATCAATCAACGTAGAATAATGCTATTTTTATTATTGAATGGAATTAAATATAATTAAAAATTAGAGTTAAATTATAAAAGAACTCTTTAATGCTTAATCCTTAGAAATAGAAATAAGTACATGAAAATTATTAAGGCTCTTTCTTCTCAATAAAAATGCATGTTTATGAAAAAAATTGTTCCATTTATTATCATTTTAAAAGTAAAAAGTTGACTTTTTTGCAAATATAATTAAAGAGGTAATTATATATACAATTGTTCAAGATTCAGCATTAAAAGAGTTAATAAGAATTGCTCAACATATTATGCGAATTTAAAAAATGTCATCGTATATTACTATACAAGTTGATAATTTCATTCTTTTCATTTTAATGCTGAAAGAAATCATGAAAAATCCTTATTAAATATATCTGATAATAAATTCATTTATAATTTGTCAGCTTCTGAAATTCGTCGTATCAATATTTGTAGTGATCGCCGTATATTCTCACGATTTAGATTGTCAAATCGCAGGGTTCGTGTCTCCGGCAATAAAATCCGGCAAAAATCAACGAATATCGTTCGATAACGTGAACGTGTGTTGGCCATTTTACTTGATTTGTGGAATTTAATGAGAAACATTCTTCGTAACTTATTAATTATCACGACTTCAGTATTTTGTAATTTATTCACGTCATTCACGTGCAGCTCCAGCGCTTTGATGATGTATTGGAACCTTTATTTTCTATCTCGTAGGATATTAATTTAGTTTATAAAGCTATTCTTAGAAAAATTTAAATTTTTTTTTAGACTGAAGATACTTTGTTGGCAATTTAATGATACTTTTGATATTGATACTTTTGAAAATGTGTGTGTTTGCTAATATTTATCGATCATTGCTTGCAAAATTTATTTATATGCGTTTTTGGACGTAAATAGCATGTATTCTCTGATTATGGATAACACGATAGATGCTTTGTGGGGACTGAAGCTTCATTAATTAAAGTTTTTCTTCTTTATTTTTCCAATTCGATATTTTTTTTTCAACTAATTTCTAAACTCATATAGCAGTTCGAAATATGAAACCGCAAAGTGCAGGGTAACATGGGTACAGGCAGTTGGAAGTGACTGATCTGTAAGCAACCCTCATTCGAGGAGATCCTTGAGGAACCAGAGACTCCTCTGGTCGTATGCGTCGGCGCGCCTATCGTGCGTTTCTGAAGTGGGCGGTGTCCTTTGATGCTACGATTTTTCGTCGCGCGCATCTGCGATGCTATATAGGAATAAATGAGCGCCGGCGCTAAACGACATGAGGTGGCATCCCGCGTTGCATCGACGTGCAGCGACATGGATATCGTCAATCGTGATCGGTGGGCGTGTTGCGTGTATAGACATACATGCTCCTTCGGACTCATCTCGAATTCCATGTTTGATATAATACGTCAAATTCGCTCTTTCCAAAAGCTACATGATCGATTAAAAAGATAAGAGAAAAAAAGGAAAATACTATTTTTATATTATTATTTTCTCACCCGTAGTTGAGGAATTATTTTTCCGTCGATTGTAGATTTATGACGATGTTGTTTTTTAACCGAAATCCATTCTATAGGATTTTTAAATAATTTGTACGATTCCGGGCAGCCAAGTATTGCTTCTCCGCGAATGATGAATTAGCGGTAATTTAAGCTGTCGCACTCTGATCGTATTACAGTAGTCATAAATAACTGAGAAAAGGATTCGATGCTTCGGTAGACGTGGAAAATTCAGTATGGAGGCGAAATCGGCTTGGGTGACACGGATAATCGCATAGTTGTGACTAATTCGTTCACGGTACTAAATTAGGGCTGTTCCAGCAAACCACTCAAAGATCGTGTTTCAGTATCCCCTTACTTGACAGCATCCCAGGGGGCAATATTTCTCATGCGACTTTTTTAGCCAGCTCATAACTATTTACGAGTGCCTTTAATGAATATTGGATGATCGATAGGATAGATGGTGCGTATCTTATGAATTTCCATCGTTATCGGGAGAGACTAAAAATTTATCTTTCCTATGGGTCACTGCCTGCTGACCACTGACATGTCGACTTTGTAAACGAGAATCCGCGATATGAATTCGCGGTTTTGTTATGTTTTGTTGGCCTGTCGGGAGCAGATTAACTAATAAATACCAATGAACTCTTTTCCAACCCACAATCGGTCATACACATTTTATAATACTCTTTACGATCTCGCTAATTTAAGTTATGCATTGTGCAGGATCCGATCCAACACATCTTCAGGAGAGGAAATAATTATTTATTATTTTATATAAATATATAATCCTTATTTTGCAATAATTTTGCAATTCATTCATATTAATTCACCATCTTAAAAAAAAAAAATAATACGAAATACTTTATTTCCATCTTTCAGGCTAAAAACTTAGGCATTTTTTAGAAATTTATTTGGGACATTTTAGAAGAATGTACCTGCTATTTTCTCGGAAGCGATGATTCGGTAATTACCGTGAAGCATTCTTTTGCTTCGTGGAAGCATTCCCGTCGCCATTTCGAGTTTCTTTATCGTCTACCATTTCGGGCTCATAATAGCCGTGAAAGAGCCATCGTCCTAATGTATCTTTATGCCATCATACGCGGTTGGTACGCGACACCTGTTTCCACGACGTCATGCGCCGACGACTATCGAAGAAGGCATTGATATGACCATGACCTAGGTTGCATGAACGCTTAGGTCTAATCTAGTTATATCTACGCGCGATATAGAGGTAACGATAGGGCTGTATCTAACAGATGCACGTCAGTTTACGATAATTTTCAGGTGTTAACGCGTACAGGTATCTAATCGAATACTAGCCAGTAATAAAACGCAGTCTAACTCATATCATTCGACTTAGGAATGAAAGCCCACATAACTCCAAAGTTATATAAGTTTTTCTCCGGGATAATTAAATCGTGTTGTAATCTTTCAGCGATTTAGTTTTTCGTTTAAATGTACTATGAGATTATGCGAAATCATAAGCATCAATTGAATTACAATGAAAGCAAGTTCGAGAAGTTTATCAGTACACAGCTATTTTTGAAAATACGATATCATAAGATATTCAGTAAATCGTAGTACAACCGTTGAGAAGGATATATCTGATGTAAATTAAAATCACAATGTTCTTAAGTCGATCGAAGATTTATGGCAATGTAATATCACGTTCGTCAGGCATGTCACGTAGAGGATAAGCTCGATAAATTCGATTAAGACGTAAAACTTTTTTTAAATACCTCCTCGGTGTCGTCTGCAATTAATTTTAGTTCTTATGCAAGCTCAAGTTCACGACCGAAGTTGATATGGCACGCAACTCGTTACTTGTGATGCGCTTCTCCTTCTGCGCCCCTAACTTGCTCTCTTTCTTCTGTCCACATTTTCGGCAATAATTAAGACTCACTTCATTGATAACGCTTGACAAGTACATTGAACGTTAAACCAACGCGTCTCGATCATTTATTTTAGATACTAATAATGACACCAAGATAAATGTGCCTCCTCAAGGTTCACGGAGGTCGACCGGACTTCTTTATCCGCCTGACATAAAAGTTCGTCATGCTGAGAAAGCAATGAATCAAGTTGAAAATATCTTGTCGAATCTCAAGACGCCTCTGTTAAATATTTTTTTCACTACAAATATCTGTATTAATTTTTGAAGCGTTTTTCATTATAATTTAGAATTGTTTCTTTTAATAAATTTGAAAATGTTTGCAAAAAATTTCACAGTTTCAAACATTTCGAACATTTTGAAAAATTCTCATATCGCATATACTTATTGTAAAAAATGAACCGAATATTTGGTACTTTTAATATATTATATAAATTAATCGTTCTTTCTCAAACCTTTTTCCTTCTACTTTGTTTTTCATGCTCAAGTCGCTCGAAACGCTATTTTGTATTTTGACTTTTAGATTACCTTATATTACTATTTTTTAGCTATATTATAACGTAATTGGATACATGTAATAAAAATCAAAATAATTGAGATATTATCGAGAGAAAAAAATAGAAAGGGAAAGATGCATCTCTGAGGGATGTATCAGCCGGAGAGGGAAAGTTTAGAGAGTTTAAGTGGTTTTTCAGGGGCTAAAGCTTGTGGTTACACATGCCACACCATCCGGACTTCGTTCTAGCAGACCGGCAACGAGACGCTCCTTTTAACATACCGCGACCTCGAGTGTTTCATCCGCGAGTTCATCATGCTGGCTGTGATTTAAGTTTAACCGTGCCAGACATCTTTCTCCTCCTACCTATAAGAGAACTCTATTTCTCTCGGTATATACTTTCGTATACGTCGTATATGTCGATGCAAGAGTAAGAGCCGTGCATCATCCTAAAGGATCGCGCACGTGGCCGTCCCTAAATTAATCCGGTTGATCCAAAAACTTTTCTTTTAGATCAGTATACGCTCACCTTTTTTTATACATTTTGGCTATTTTATATTCAAAATTGATGCAGATCTACTTACCGCTAGTTTTTACTTAAACTTAATTATACATATAAACATCGATCATTGAATACTAATTTAGAAAATTAGCGACAGAAAATTAATTTTTAATCTTTAGTTTTTCAATGTATTTTGTAATAATGATTGAAAAAGATAGAAAAGTCAAAGTCAATAAATAATGCTAATTGCAATACGCGTAATGCTTGCACATCTGGCGCGAATGGTCATGCAAATACATACGCTGCACGGGTAATTGTTGAGCTTTCTGTATGAAATGATAAGTATTGCAAAGCCGAGGGCAGATTAGAGCGGTCAAAGGAAACAAAAGCACAGGTGAACAAGAATGTTAATGCGACGATAACATAGTTATTATCGCGCCGAGGTATAAGCGTCTAACTGTGAAATTAAGTTCGCTGGAATACTACAAGAAATAACGTGCCATAATCTGATTTATTATTTAATCTGCGATATAAAAAAGTATGCGTTATGTAGTGTTACTTTTATTACTTTTTCCTACATTTACTACCTTCGTAGTATTTTTTTCTATTTTTTTTTAAATATCGTCGCGATTTGCAGTTTTCTTTCTCGCGATGCGTGCTCGAGGATAAAGTGTCACGAAGGTCGGAATGCAACGGCGTCGTTCGGATGCGAAAGTGCAACGTAAACCCTTGTACGTACCTCTAACGTAGTGAGGACTTCATACAGGATACCTAGCTACGTCAGCTACTTTTTGCTTACATAATATCCGATTGCTTCCCAGTCTGATTTCGCCCCTAGAAGATTCTTGTGTCCTCTGACCTCTTCGTCCTCGTCGTCAGTTCGGTAACTCAATACCTGCATTTTAATTCCCTGACTCTTCCCCCTGCGTCCTTTCATATCTAGTTACGGACGCTTCTCTACTTCGAAAACTGCGTATCGCGTTATGGACACCATGAAACGATTCAAGCAATAAGATATCTCGATCTTAATTTTGATATAACGATGCAGAAAACGTGAAGGAAAAAAAATGATTTTTTTCTTTAAATGTATAAAATAGTATATGTGTAAAATATGTGTACAAAATAATTTTCACTGAGACATTCTAAATGATATTTATATGTACAATGCAATTATAATTATATGTATAAAATACTTGGAATGTCGTTGCATAAAAAATAGTATCATCGCCTATTATTTCCTTTTGGCTTGCAATTTCTCGCAGTAATAAACAGTAATAAACTGACGATTAATAGTCCACTATTTGTGGGTCAAGGTGGCGTCATGAAGGCGCGAGAACGCAACTCGACCCGTCCATATACATATGTGATGTGCTCTGACTGAGAGAGTTCGTAGGACTCGGATGGCATCAGCAGCTTCTTGCTTACCTACATACAATATCCAATTGCTTCCCAGTCGCATTTCTGCCGGATGTGCTGCTCGCGTTCGCCGACCTTTCTTCGTTCTCTCCTTCTCCGTTTTGCTTTTCTTCTCTTTTTTTTCACTAAGTAACTCGAGATGAATTCTCTTATTTTTCTCCGTCGTCAAGTGACGCGTTCGCTTAGTTCCTACTGAAAAGGATAAGCGCGACTTTACCTGGATTCGCGTTTTGATGAATGCTATTTAGTAACGATATGATCTAAATATAATAATTTCGGGCATCAATTCAAGAAAATTTTATCTTAATCTTTGATTAAATGGATAATATAATTTTTACTTTATAATTTTAATTAATAATTTTGTAATATAAGCATAATTCTATACGTACAAGCAACGAGCTTTTTAACGTAGTACATACGCACGTGGCTATTAGGTTGGTTCGCGTTATTATCAGTAAACGCCGGAAATTCTGATAACGCCATGTCCGTTTCCATCCTTCCCTCTGCTGCTTTTGCGTTTCCTGTATCCTTCCTTCTCTTTTTCGTATGTGCTCTTCATTTCATTGCCCGAGATTTTCATATTTACTCTTAATACTCGGTTACAACTTACGAAATTATACATAGTTATTAACATTGTAAGACTACTTATAGATTCACTATACGTTTAACAATTACAATAAAAATATAATTTATTTTAAAACATAAATATCGCAAGATATTTATTCCTTTGTAGTATTTTTCGTAATATGACTTTAAGAAATTAAGATCTTAATGGCTTTTATTGTTAGCTTTAAATACCAAATTAAGAGTCATAGAGAATAATTATGTATTTTTAATTTATTCATTAAAATTCTTTTGTAGGAACGTTACAAAATTACAGAAATTAATTTAAATTCTTGTATCTCTTTTTTTTATTTTACTAACATTTTAATTATTATTCTTATTTTTATTATTATAAATAATTTTTATAAATAATTGTTTAATTAATTTATTCTCGTTTTTCCGTTTGTCAAGGAAAAAATAAAAGTACATAAATTTTTGTAATGAACATTTCACATATTCTGGAATATGTTTATGTTCTACGTTGTGCTCTGAGAAACTATGCATATTCATAGTCACGTAATGGAAGTGGGGGAACGTTGCGAACTAACGAAACAATTGTTTCCGAGTCACGTAAAAAGAGGCCACTGCAGATATGGTTGCTCCCGTCAAAGACACATGTGTAGTTCTGTGCCTTTTACCTGGTCGCGCGAATGCATCATTTCGTATCATTTTACACCGGAAGCACGCGTGAATATTATGCGTTTTATTTTTCCGATAAAAAAGAAGATTTGTATAATGAAAAGGAGAAAAAGAGAAACCATCTTTATATTTTAGTTTATATCGCGTCTTATTTTTTTAAGGAAAAAAAACTTGTTTTACAAGAAATGGAACTAGTAAAAGTTTAGAAAGTAAATAAATGTATTTTTCAGTAAAGAAAGATATAATTAAAGAGAAGATTTATAATAAATTTTTTCTAACATTTCTTATTTTTATTTCTAAAGGTAAATTTTTTATTTGGTTGATTATATTTATTTCTAATCAAATTAATGCTAGGGTAACTCCGGCAAATACACCGCGCTGGGATTTACGCCGCAGAAGTCAGAAAAACTAGAAGGAGCGGGGGTAATTTTCCCATAACTACTCTGTTACATGCCTTTATGTTATATTAGTATTGTGTTATGATTTCAGCTTCTTATTGTTAATATTAATGAATTTATTGTGAGTTAAATCGATTTGTCACTGTAATAAGTAACGCCATCATAAGTTATAATCTACATAAAATGATTAATGTAGGACGTGTAAAAGACTTAGTGGTTATTTCGTGATACATATGTGTAGAGGAATAGTAAAGCATGTTTGCATTATTTGTAAATTTTTCATGAGCAATACCCCCTTTCCCCCTATGAGTAGCCATATATCCCACCCCTATGAGATATGCGGCAAAAATACAAAGAGGTTTCAAAAAGTTTATTTTTTAATATGAAAAATAAATATTTCGGATTTCTAATATTTTTTTCATAGTAGTAGACAGTATAAAGTTTTTACTGATATAGTTCGTTTACTATATAAACATAATAAATAATACTTAATAAATTAAATTTTTGATAGGTGCGGCGTATATACCGGAGTTACCCTATATTATGTTCTATTAAATTAATAATTTCTCATTATTAATATTATACACACACACGCACGCGCGCACGCACAACACACACACACACATACACACACACACACGCACACACGCACACGCACACACTTATGGGTTCAGCAATTATGTAGTTAGGATACATATAAGCTGGAGTAACCAGGAAGTACTTAACTGCAATTGCATAATTATTTTAGCTACTTGGTGATATTATAACCGTTATTATTTACTGTATATAAGTATGAAAATAAAAATGCAGATATTGACATTTGCGTTAATCTAATCTTTTTAAACGAATTGATATTATTAACAGTCGACGATACATTATGGTTTTAAAATCACAAGTAACACATTCACAGCCAATATATCTTTCACTTCAAATGGTTAAATTATATTATTTGATTTTTTAAAGAAAAGTAGAATGTTGAGATAAACACTGTTACATATGTGTGCATATTTATTGCATGCGATGCACCTGTCTGATCTTTCTAAGAAATTCAGTGTGAATGAAACACAGTGCACAACATCGAAGCAGAGTACTTTACGGAGGGCCGCGAGTGCGTGAATTGCGGCGCGATTTCCACACCCTTATGGCGTAGAGATGGTACCGGGCATTACCTCTGCAACGCATGCGGTCTCTACCATAAGATGAACGGAATGAATCGTCCATTAGTTAAACAACCACGTCGCTTGGTAAGGAAGGCTTCACGACGACTCCATCGTGATGTTAATCATCATCATAATTCGGGAATGGAACGGTTTGGCAAAGTCGTTTGCAATATTCAGAAAATTGAAGACTATGTAGAGCTACTACGTTGGGGCTTCGTATTTTATGTTTTGTTGTTTAACTTCATTGCTATTATTTATCCGAAAAATTTGTAGAAAAGAATTTTTTTTAAGCATTAAAAAATATGAATAAACTTGATGAATCTGATGCAAACAGTATTTTGTAAACCGTTGATTTCACGAATTGTACTGTACGCAACTGTACATTCGAAAAGGATATAAGAGAGAAAGAGACAGAGAGAGAATAACAATGGGATACTTTCTCGCTCATTCTCGTTACTGTCCAGGAGCCTATGTGGAAATTCGCCCGTGATGTTCTGCCCTTTTGTAAGTCCGAGAGATGTTCAGTAATCGCATCTCTGATCGTGACAAAATGAATTCTCCTGGCACCTTGCGATGCCAAACTCGCCTCTTATTCGAGGCCCGATATATCATCGTGTATATTTAATACACGCAGGAAAAAAGCACCCCTAACGTATGGCCTCATGTCTGTTTCAGTGGCGGACCAGGGCAATTTCTACAAAGACTTCTGTGGGTATAGTGGCACCCGTCGCGCCCTCGAGGAGAAATCGAGCCGTCGTTTGGTAGGTGTCATCCTCCCAAGTCAACATTCTCTCTCTCTCTCTCTCTCTCTCTTTCTCTTTTTGTCTGTTTTTCTTTTCTTTTGTTCTAGTAATAACAATTGTAACAATTTTTGTCTGATGTTTCTCTTTCTCTACCCATTCTTATCATTAGGACTCCCCTTGTTCCATAGTTCATCACTTTTACCGCATATTTCTTCAATTCATCATTGTCGTCGATCCATTATTGCGGCCGAGTAGCAGTAGAGTACAAGTACTATTAACACTTTTAAAAGTGATGTTATTTTAATCAAGTATTGTATAAATAAAAATATGTAGATAATATGATAGATAAATGAAGATTTGATAAAAAATCAATAATAGATATGGTGTAAATTAATATAATATTGCGATTAAATTAAATATATTAAAATATTAAAGTTTAGTGCTAGAAGACTGCTTGTGGTCAAGGATCGACAATTTCCGCCCTGTCCTGACTTTCCCGTAATTGTTCTATTCCCGTATTTTTTCGTGTTAACATCACGCTTTCTTTGATTCATTCATCATTATACTAAATGTCTATTGATTATCGAGACGAAGGCAGTCATCCTTGACTGTTTTCGTCATCGGTGGCGCATATCTAGTAGAAAACAATTTGAATCGTAGCCCCGAGGTGCCACTATACCCATGGTACGAGCACTCTCCTTCCCGAAATCACGTGCAGCCTGTTGTAAAGTACGTTTTATCTTTCAATTTCCGATCACACGGAATGATTCTTTGTGTCTGTTGAGTTTTTCCAGGCTCACGTGATCTTCGTGACCGAGGGTGGCTCACTTTTCTGCTCCGCGATCTCTACGGTACCTTGCACAGAAAACTTTCTATAATTACGGTAATTTAACCTAATCCTTTCCCGAATTCGCATCAAAACGTTTTAATAACTCAATGGGGAAAGCGATTGATCCGATATATACAATCATAAGTTTTTTTTCTTAAAGGTTTAAATATTGAAAAATTTTTTCCGACAATACCCGTATAAGATATATTAACTTCCTCCGAAATTTATAGCACAAACCTCTTTCATATTTTGTATATATTTTCAATATCATTCATAATATTGAATTGATTCTTACGTTTCGTATTCACAATCCTGTAATATAATCGTATACCTCTTAAGAGCAATACAATCCATCATTATACGCCTAACAGACTCTCGGCTACGAAATTCCTATTCATTTTCTGTTCTTTTTTGTCAAAGGTAGTAGCATATAATAACAATTTTATATCTTTTTAGTCTGCCACGAGACGCGTTGGTCTCTCTTGCAGCAACTGTGAAACTACGATGACGTCTCTATGGCGTCGTAATGCACACGGTGAACCGGTGTGCAATGCCTGCGGTCTTTATTACAAGTTGCATGGCGTCAACAGGCCGTCGACTATGAAGAAAGACAGCATTCAAACGCGCAAGCGGAAACCTAAGGGTGGAATGAAAAGCAGCGATACACCTCTTTCTGGCAATGTTGCGCAATGCACAAACAATAATAACAACAATAACAATAGCGTTAAACTTGAACCAGGTATACATACATTTCTATTAATTAAGTAATATTAATTAAGTTTCGATTATTGAAAAACTTAAAAGTTGTACAGTTTTTTTAATTTTTTACTAATCAGATTTTTTCTACCTTGAATTCTCCTTTATAAAGTTTTTGCGAAATACTTATCCAGATAAAATATGTTTGCTTATCTCATCATATTAATTTTGTACATGAAATTCAAATCATAATCTTATAAAAAAATTATTTTGTTGTTAATGTAGATACCTACAACGATTTGAGGATGGCTCATACCGGCGTGTCGCAAATGACATATCCAAGCAATCTTTACGGGAGTTCTCAATCTTCAAGCAGGCTAGTGCCCTATCAACCTGTATATTACGATCTGATCACTTCGCAGCAACAGCAACAGCAACTGCTAGAGACCCATTCACCGAAGATCGAATGTCCATCTCCACCTTGCACAACACGCTCACCTGGAATGGTCTCAGCTGGCCAATCGCCTGATCATCATCAACTCACTTCGCCACATATCGTCACTCTAGGCAGTCCGTCGACCAGTCCAGCTGGATCTAAAATTATACTGGACAATGGTCACCTCGAGAGATCTACGGTTGTGTCGATATCATCCTAAACACAGTCTGGAAAAATGTCGGATTGTTAAGGCAGGCAACAAATAAAAAAATTGTAGCCAAGTAATTAAGTGCCTGTCAAGCAAAAGACCTGGGTTCGATTCCCGCTTTTTACTTTTTAACCAGCGAGACATACAATCTCGTTGATCTTACTTTCCTGCGCGCATTGTGATACGCAAAAATTAAAAGTTATATCTTTTAAAAATGTGTGAAAATATGATAGCAGCGCTGTTGTAAATAAGAGTTTTAGGATGTTTTAGAACTTTAGAATTTTTCAGAAAATCGAAGCTTTTCCTTTGAAAAGAGAAATTTTTAAAGGAAAACAGATTTTTTTCTTTGTAAAAAAAATGATTTTCTTTGTTTATTTTATGCTATTTTTATTAATTTTTTTTCTTTTCTTACCAAAGAAGATTTTATTAACAAATCCTATCTCAGTAATTAAGACAATACCAAATTACGAATGATATTGTTGTATCTGTATATACATGTATATGGGAATTTTCTTATATTATATAAGATTATATATAAGATTATATGTAAGTGTTCTTATATTCCAACATAAAACTACATAAAAGCACAAGGATATTTTAATCGAGCAGATATGTAATATTTTTAATAGATATAACATAAAATATGTCATGCGAGAGCGATAAAAATGATAAGAATAATGTAATATAATATAATTAAATAATAAATATGTAGCAACAATGGTGTATATTATACGAGTAAACATATCTGACGATTATGCGAATAAATATATCCAATAATTATGACATATTTTTGTCTTTTTATAATAACAAGTTTAGCAAGTATTTACGTCAATATGTTTCGCATAATATACTTTTAGGATGTTGTGTATTGAGAGATATTAGATTATTTTTAAATAAAATGGGATATTTTAAACGAAGCTAAGAAGCTTTATTTTAATGATATTTATAATTTATATAATTATATATCTTATCTTAAATCTGAAGGTAAGTTAATTATTTTTACAAACTTAAATAAGAGCCTTTCAACTCGTGTACCGTGTGCACAAAAATTCGTTTTGTGCGCGAGTTGGGAGGCTCTAATTTAGATTATCAGAAAAATTATACAATTAAAAATAACGTAAATTATAACAAGAAAAGTACAATATTACGTATGCATTCTATAATGAATTGCAAAAGATTGATCCAATGCGCATTACTGCCTATAGGTATGCAATCATGTATAATATGTATATGAAGCGTACAACATTTTTTCGTAAACTATATGCATTGCGTTATTTAAAAGATGTTTTTTTTTAGAATTATCGAAATAGATTATTTAAGTTATACATACAAATACATATTTAACATGAGCCCTCCATAATAATCACAAAAACATTCAGTTGATGACAAACGAGGAGTCAGTGAACGGCCGAAAGAAAGTTCATCCTTGTGTATTTTCGACGATAATGCAATGTCTCGGCTAATCTTTGTCACCACATCTCCCACGTACCCTCTCTTGTTTGCAATGGCGTAGTTACCAGAATTCACAAAAGTTTAAGAGAGAATAACGAGATATTGTTTAAAATTATAAAATCGTTTATTCGTTTAATTTTTAATTTTTTTAAAAAAAGGGCAGTAGGAATCAGCATGGAAAACAATACGCAATGCTAATGAAAAATATATTTTAATTACAACGACATGAATGTTAAGTCGCGGAAACTAACAACTGTACGTTTCGGTTCCATTATTGAGCCATCCTTAGCTAACACAAAATACTACAATAAAAATCGCAATGGTCCATATCTATACAAATAAAGATGCGGATTTTTACTATAATATTTTGTTATAATAATCACGTCGTTGTAATTAAAAAATACATATCATGTTTTTATTAGCATTACAAATAAAAGTGAAATAAATTCTACATTATCTAAATTACATAAATTAATATTACATAATTTATTTCATTAAATTTAATATTTAATGAAACTTTAAATCTCCATATATGTATATTACTTATTTTTACAAACCCGGAGGATTTTATTGATTAAATAATTTGTAATTGTGTCAACTTAAAAACAATATTTCTTATTATATCTATGATGAATCTCGATTACGCTATTGCATCTGAGACAATAATGCTCGTTGGATCGTTGCCTTATTAAAACGATGTCTCACCTGATTCTCTTATCAGTGGTACCCTAGTGTATGCTCTGTAACCATGACTATAACCCTCCCGCTTCAAGCTTCGTTCCCCTCCTAACAAAATGATAACTGTGATAGGTATACGCCTGTGTGTAGTGTGTGTACACGGTAAGGTAAACCGATCCCTCGTCGAGGAGCTCTATTTAAAAAAAAAAATATAACCTGGGATAAAAGTAATAAATTACGAATAAGCCGAAGATTTTTCATAACATGATAAATATTTAAACTTTCTGTCCTGGGAGATTGTCCTATAATGTTTTAGTTCAAATACTAGTATTTTCTTTTTACTTAATTCTTTCTCATCATATAATTGTTTTCATGAGAGAAAAATTCATGAGAGAGATTTCACAATAAATCTTTCTTAAGTGACTTTTATTGACATCTCTATATTGAGACAATCGCGTAAATGCTTTTACGAACTATATGAACGTAAAAAGATAATTGGGTCGAGTTATAATCTACGCGGAATGTAAAAAACAAATATAAAAAGAAGAACAATAAATGAGACATATCATTGATACGAAAAACGTGCGAAATAGCATATATGAGGTATAAAAAAATAATAATCGACTGTAACTTCGCATTCTATAATAACGTTCAGACATTTTGTTATAAAAAATACACAGTTAAGTTATAATTTTTATAATAAAACTTATTTTGTTTACATGATACGGATTTGGGCTTCTTTAAAATATATTGCTTTTAAAAAAATTAGAGTTCTACTTAATTCGTAAATACATAATTAATAAATTATATAAATACAATTTTTAAAATTTTCGGTGTTTTGATCAACTATTTATCTCGGTTGTTTCTAAAAAAAGAATTCTTTATTGTTGTGGGTGTGCCATCTTTATTTTATTCGCAACTCACCATCACAGCAGACGACCTCTGTGAAGCTGGCACCTTATCTTTAAAATTTTAAAAAAATAAGCAGAGTTCTGGTCGCCTCCCAAAGAGTTCTAGAGTTCTATAACAAATTTAAGAAGAGTTCCATTGATTAAAGGAAAACAACATTTAAAGTAATGGGGGAGTCAATTTCACAATTCTGCAACTTTGAAGGGCTATAACTTCTAAACAGTTCATTTTAACACGTTGATCTACAGAGAATAATCGATAGAACTCTTTGAGGGGCTATCAGAACTCCCGAGAAAATAATGGATTTCCAAAATTAAAAAAAAAAATTTTAATAAAATTTTTTTTTACATTTGACATTCTGACACAAGTTCTGGTAGCCCCCCCGAAAAGTTATAACGATTACCCTTAACGACCGATGCTGTAAAATCAATATCTGAAAAAGTTCTGGGACTTTGAAGTTTCAGATTTTGAATTTGTCCACTTCAAGGCGTTAGAACTTTTCTGTTTGCGGTCTTAGCTATATGATTATGAAGGATAATCGTTAGAATTCTCTTCGGGGGGCCATCAGAACTCACAATGGAATGACGTATTTCCAAAAAAAATTTTTTTTTCAAAAAACAATGTTAAAAAAATTTGATTTTGGAAATTTGGTATTTTCATGAGAATTCTGGTAGCTCCTCGAAGAGTTCTAACGATTCAGATATTGATTTTACAGCATCGATCGTTAAGGGTAATCGTTAGAACTCTTCGGGGGGCTATAACTTCTACCAGAACTCATACTTTTCTGTTTGCGGTCTTAGCTATATGATTATGAAGGATAATCGTTAGAACTCTTTGCACGTAGATCAGCTAAAATGAACTGTTTAGAAGTTATAGCCCTTCAAAGTTGCAGAATTGTGAAGTTGGCCCCCCCGTTACTTTAAATGTTGTTTTCACTCCTTTAATCAATGGAACTCTTCTTAAATTTGTTATAGAATTGTAGAACTCTTTGGGGGGCGATCAGAACTCTGCTTATTTTTTCAAAATTTTAAAGATGAGGTGCCAGCTTCACGGAGGTCTGTAGAAGAGCGAAACGCTGACGAGCACCGGTACCAATATGGCGTCCGCAGAAGGGATTCCGACGCAGTACAACACGGCGGCAGCAGTTGCTTTCTAATCGTCATCAGTTAATATTTGACGGCTCTCGGATAAAATCGAAGCTTTGATCTTGCGCTACCAGGCGGCAGTTCCAACGACGACGATCACGACGACGAAGAGTAGCAAGCCTCCTCGCTCTCCTCGTGGAAGCGCACCTGTGTCAAGCGCGCGCCGTGTGCGTGTCTCGCTCACAAACTCACTCGTAGACGCAGTAACGACGAGGAGCGAGCTCCAAGAACGTCGGAGCACGTCGTGGAGCGCCGAGTACAGAGTACAGAGTTGCGAGTAGTTCCAAGAGGAGTTTTCCACATAGCCGCTCTCTTCTTCGACGTTTCTGCCTCATCTTTCTCCTCCATTTCATTTGTAAGTTAAAACCCTTTATCGTTCTGTTCGCGATCTTACGATCGTATTGATTTCGTCCGTTGTCAGAAACCGGCAACGCGATGCCGGGTCATACAGCGTGTTAGTAAATGAATCATGGTCTCAATGATACTAAATCAATTTATTTATATAGTTAATAGATTTAGGAATAATTCAAATGACGAGAAATTAATAATTAAAATTAATTATTAGATAAAAATGAAATAGTTAATTTTTTTTTATTAACAGTCTTCTCTCACGTATATCTGTAATAGATGAAAAGGTCTCATTGTTTAATATTTTAAGCGATTATTAACTTTATGATAGTAACCTAAAAGAATTTCTAATTGATATTAATATAAATTTAATATTATGGAGTTATACATAGATATACATATAACTATAATTTAACATAATTTAACAGTACAAAAATAATTGCAATAGACGTTATTAAAATATAAAAAAGATATTAAAGTCCAATAAAGTCCAAAGTTCATACTTTATAATTCCATTTTTGATAGATACAAGCGAAATATATATATATGTGTGTGTGTGTATAGAAAGACTTATGGGATTCAGGCTATTGATTCAGGAGCAGCGGATCGTCTAGCGCGATTTTACCTGATCACTATTAAAAGAGAGAGAAAGAAACGCATGCGAGAAGGAGCCAAATGAAAGCGAACATCCGTAATGCCAGTAATGCCGTATACGAAAGGAACACTTGTGTTTTA